CACTTTTCCTACAAAGTAATATTCTGGCAATTTGACTTTCCAAGGGTCAGCAACTGGTTGAGACCAGTAAACACACTCCAGTCCCACTTACATGGCTGCCTGCGCCACTGTTATGTGCATGGTGTCCGTGACTGCTCTGAGTTTGCTCACTAGCAGGTTGGCCTCCTTGGAGCAGTTCTCAGTGTAGAGGACCACCCAGCACTCCAAGGGCTTTGGTCTAAGTAAGGCTATGTTCGAGTCCTTCAGCCAGTTCTGTAGACTGGGATTGACCATATACTGGAAAGGAATAAGACACAGAAAACAAACTGATGCGTTGACATCATCTGGTTCCTTCCTGCTGTGTAACCTTGCAGTTTCCTACCAATACCTCAGCTTGTCCATTTTTTTTTTTCCCTACTGAAAGCATAAGTCAAGGCTGCACTTGAGCTGCAAGATTCCCGGCCTTGATCTCGTGATTCCCAACTCAAATATGGAGTGGATTTGGTATTTAAAATGCAGGCGAGGGAAACTGGGCCTCTAACTCGGGTAGTAAGTGTTTTCCTTGCATCAATACCAGATGGCTCTAGTCTCCTAAATAGACAAACCAAAGCCTGGTGGAGACAGGCAGATGAGACAGGGGCAACCCACCTATTGTGCCTTCCCACTCTAGCCAATCAAACCCATTTTCTTTGCCCAGCTTCCATCTTGACCTACTACCTTTCTGACCCCACACTGACGCCCTGGGGCTCTGGGAAGCCCTTCTGGCCCAGGGAGTGGCCCAAACACATGAACCTAGATTCCCAGCAGCAAATGCCCACAATTCCTTAAAGATGCACTTCAGAGCTCACTTTGGTGCAGATACGCTCTTACTGAACTCTGTCCTCTCATAAAAAGGGCAGCGGTAAAAAGTCATTTTTGTTTTTGGTTTTTGGTTTTTCGAGACAGGGTTTCTCTGTGTAGCTTTGGAGCCTATCCTGGCACTCACTCTGGAGACCAGGCTGGCCTGGAACTCACAGAGATCCACCTGCCTCTGTCTCCCCAGTGCTGAGATTAAAGGCATGCACCACCAATGCCCAGCTGACAGTCATGGTTATTAACGTGGCCAATTTTACTCCCTGTGTCTTGAGCTGAAGGTGCTATGGCCAACTTTAACCAGGCTTACCAATCCCTTATCCTGGAAAAGCCTTACTGTGTTCAGAATTCTTCCTGACACAGACAGACAGTTGTCATCAAAACTCACACTCCATGGCAGGAATTCATCTTGTACATTCAGATTTCTGAAAAAAAAATTACAATAGTGTTCTGACCAAGCAACAAAATAACTTGGGCAGTTTCTCTTGAGTCCAAGGTCTTCCTCAATGATAAGATGCCCCAGGCAAAAGTCCCTAGACTCCAGGACGATGTCACCTTTTCCAGGCCACTGACTCACCCTTGTCCTGACACTTGAGTTGTCAGGAAGATAGGGCTGTTCTACCCACAAATGACCAAGTCTGTAATCATAGTTGTGTGTTACATGCATGCATATGCTGAGTGCTCACCTATATAGATCCATGTAAATTCTAGAACACTGGGGATTTTTTCCCTGTAGCGCTCTCCTCCTTATTTTTGAGGCAGGATCTCCCTCTGAGCCTGGACCTCACTTGAGCTAGACTGGCTGACCAGCAAGCCCTTGGGATTCACCTGTCCCCCAGCATTGAGGTTACAAGTATGTGCCACTATGCCTGGCTTTTCACATGGTATATATGGTCCTCATGCTTGCACAGCAGGCACCTTACCCTCTGAACTGTCTTCTCCAGTTGTTTTGAGGCAGAGTCTCTCCATGCTGTCCAAACTGGAGTTTGTAAGTCCCATCTCAGCCTCCAGAATGCTGGACTACAGACCCAAGTTTCCATCCCCGGCTCACAGTCATCATCGTTTTTTTAGTAGAAGAATCAGGTGCCTGAAGGCTACACACAGTCTCCACCCGAGCGCAATGCCACATACAGGCTCACATGCAGCAACCCAAAGAGGTACTTATGTCTGGATGCCATTCATAAACTTGTTCAGTGCGTTCCTCCTATTCATCAGGCTCATCCTCATTTGGTCAGTCAACAGCGACATTAGGTTATGGTTCCTAGCCACATCAGTCGCCACACCTTTTGGGGGAAAGACAGCAAGAAGTTACAGCCTGCAAAGCAAGGCTCAGCTGGTCCTAGAGAAGATGGAAGGCTGGAATCTAGGGACAGAATAGCTAACCACCCCAGAGGATGCAGTTCTGAGTCAGGGTTATATGTGGAATGCTGGGGCTTGTGCATTGTGGTTAAGTCGGATGTTTAAAGAGGAGCTATCTTCCACAGAGCCACATAGGCCATACCTGTCAGGTAGCACAGCTGAGGGACCAAGAATACAGGCTCACGAGGTGTAGATGTCTGGCCCTTCTTCCACCTGCCCCAGCTCACCAAGAGTGACTGGTTCATGTCAGTTATGAAAATTTTGTACTGCTGCTCCATGGAGGCAAGAGATGAGACAGGGTTTCTCTGTGTAGCTTTGGAGCCTATCCTGGCACTCACTCTGGAGACCAGGCTAGCCTCGAACTCACAGAGATCTGCCTGCCTCTGCTTCCCAAGTGCTGGGATTAAAGGTGTGCACCACCAATGCCTGGCAGGGATTTTAAAATTCTCTCTACATGGGTTAGATAAGACCCTGCTGGCCTTTATAAGCACCCGTGGTCAAAGGGAAGTGCTCCATAAAACATGTCATCAAAGGCCTGTGTGGCGATGGATGACAGACTCTTCTGTGTTTTCTCGTGTGTGTGTGTGTGTGTGTGTGTGTGTGTGTGTGTGTATGCACATGAGCGAGCAATGTGTCTGTATGTGCTTGTGGTGTGTGTATGCATGTGTATGTGATTGTGTATTTGTGTATAGTGTATGTGTGTGTATACACAAGAGCATGTATACTTGTATGTGTGCAGTGTATGTGCAATGTGTCTGTGGTATATCTGTTTGTGGTGTATGCATGTGTATGCATACCTATGGGCTACAGTGCTTGCCTGTGTGTTTGCGTACTCACACACATGTAGGTCAGAGATCAACATGGAGTGCCACCCCCCCACCCCATTACTCTCCATCTTCTCTCTCGAGACAAGGTTCCTCTCTTGCACCTGAACCTCACAGAGCAGGTGGAATGGCCCACAGATGTCTGCAATCCTGCCCCCACATGCCAGCAATGGGCTACAGACACTGCCAGCCCTGGATTCTAAATGGGTGCCAGGGATTAAAACTCAGGTCCCTCATGCTTGAGAGTCAGGCACTTCACCCACCGTGACACCACCCCCAGCCCAGCCTAAGAGACTCACAAGAAACTCACACAAACAAGAGAGGGCAAAACCTTGTCTCTCCTAAATGTCAAATTACAGGTCTATCCCCAGCCTCCCTCCAGAGTCATCACTCCTAAACTTAGGCCCTGTTGCCACAGAAAAAAGACGATTTCCAAAACAGTATCACAAACAGCAGAGGCTGCCCTCTTCCTTCCAACAAGGTCCTCACCACAAGTTCTGGCTTATGCATCAGCAAGCTGCAGGAGAGCCCTCGCCTTGGACAAGCAGCTTCTGAGGCAGTGCTTGTGCCTGAGCCCTTGAGCTGTGAGCATTAACTTTCAAAGCCTATGGTGCTGTGGGATATGAATGTTTCCCCAACATGGCCTGTTGCTATTCATCTAAGAGTGTGTGTGTGTGTGTGTGTGTGTGTGTGTGTGTGTGTGTCTATGTGTGGGTAAGCAAGGATGGTGCCTGTGGGGACCTGAGTGAGAAAGTCTTGGGTCAGACCCAGGACTTTCTCAGAGGCCCTGACGAAAGGACAAAGGGAGCTTCAGTCTGTGCCCTTGTCAAAAAGTGGAACTGGCAAGGCCAGTCTGATGGAGTCGAGGCTGCTTGCGGCTCCTGGGTGCCCGATTCTTCCTAACCCTGGACTGTGGTTATCAGGCCCAAGGCAGCTGTTTCTGAAGTATCCCTCTCTGCCAACATTGTGTGACTCAGCTCTCTGCAAACAGTGTGTATGAAGTTGGAGTTCTTAATAAACATGCCTGGCTTAAGACATCAGCTTATGCCAAGACCTCCTGGCTTCAGGTACGCTTTTGTTCTTTTTTCCTCATCCCTGGCCCTCCCACTTGACACTCACTGTTGGGGGACCCTTATTCCTGTAAGCTTGGGTACTGGGAACCGGACTTGGGACCTCTGTGGGAAGAAGTCACATCTCTCTGCAGCACAGCCAGCTGCTCTGGAGCATCTCATGACTTCTGCCCCATCCCAAAGCCATAGGAGGTGCCGTCTCCCAGACCTCCCACCATGGTGCACACCAACTCCTCCCAAGCCAGTGGCTGTGCTGTGTCCCCACGCTCCCTGAGACCTGTATCTCTGTGTCCCGCGCGCTCTCTGTATTCCTCGCCAGCAAGAAACACACGCAGGACACTCGGATCCTTCTGCAGACAAGCTTTAATGCATTAGACTGAACAGAGACTGAGCAGAGAGTGAGCAGAGACTAAGCAGAGACTAAGCAGAGACTAAGCAGAGACTAAGCAGAGACTAAGCAGAGACTAAGCAGAGACTAAGCAGAGACTAAGCAGAGACTAAGCAGAGAC